ATATGACCATGGACTGCCAAAAGAACAAACAAATCTGCCTTGGAAGAAGTACAGCCAGAATGCTCCTTAGAAGCAAGGATGGCAAGGCTACGTCTCACATACTACGGACATTTTATCAGGAGGGATCAGTCCTTGGAGAAGGATATCATGCTTGGTTAAGCAGAGAGTCAGTGAAAAAGAGGAAGATCCTCAATGAGATGGATTGACATATTGGCTGCAATAATGGGTTCAAAAATAGCAACGACTATGAGGATGGCGCAGGACCGGGCAGTGTTTTGTTCTGTGGTACATAGGGTCGCTATGAGTTGGAGCCGACTTGACGGCACCTAACAACAACTTGACATCTTTATAACTTATCCTTTGAAGAAGAATTTTATATGGTTTGTAGCAAATGCTATACATAATAATAAGACTAATAAAATTAAAAATTGAGCAAACAAGTATGAGAATATCGATCCTGTGACTGAACAAACTCGGGATTTAGAGAGAGTTGTATTGGGAAACATGCTAGAAAGAAGTCCCCAACAGAAGCTTTTGAATTAATATAAAACTGGGTCTGCAGAGTGCTTGATGGATATGTGTTGAACGAGTGAAAACGATAAACGAGTAGAGGACAGAGCCAGTGGGTAGGTAACGGCTGGGGAATGGGGGCCAAGAGACTCGCTTTGAATAGGCTCTAGCCCCAATCCTACAACATGCCTTCCTTCATCTGAGCTTATTTGTGATGCTGATCAATATTCTTGTGCCAATGGATCAGAGTATCTCCTCACACACTGTCAATTTTTTACTGGTTTTCATTCTGAGGTAAAAAATCACCATCGTTCGCTGGGTGTTTGCAAGGAGAAGCCCGTTTGTCATTTCCACATTTTCCTAATGAGATGTTCTTGGGATGTGGGAAGGAGATGCTGGTAAGGATAGGCCAGGAATAATGTGATGGATTGAGATGGGTCAGGAAGTCAAAGGAGGTTGTTGTTTTCTGTTCCTGAGAGCAGGTGGTGCAGCGTTAGAATAGGCATCAATTCAGAAGAATTCCTCCTAAACGTAGCAACACTGTTATTTTAGGCTAATATTTAGGCTATTGTCACGATGTGGGCAATAATTTAGTCTTTCTGTTATGAGATCATACCAGACTCTTCTGAGCTACCAAAAGCAAGCAATCATACAAACAACCATAATCCCAATATTTAAATATTTACCCAATCCAAGAACATATTTTAGTGTAGCTTCATAACATTTTATGAAGTAGGGCAAAGAGGCTATCAACTGCATTTAACAAGATGGATGATGATGCTTTGTTGTGATTAAAAATATATACTCCCTGCAGAAGACTTGAAAAATACAGAAGAGCACAAAGAAGAAAACAAATTCACTTGTAAATTCACACTCCTGAAATAGAATTTAGCATTTTGATTTATATCTTTCCAGGCTTTTTTCTATGCGCATTTAAGAAAATATAATCACATTCATACTATTGTTGTTGTTGTTAGGTGCCGTTGAGTCGGTTCCAACTCATAGCTACCCTATGTAATACAGAATGAAAAACTGCCCCATCCTGCGCCATGCTCACAATCGTTGTTATGCTTGAGCCTATTGTTGCAGCCACTGTGTCAATCCATCTCATTGAGGGTCTTCCTCTTTTTCGCTGACCCTCTACTTTACCAAGCATGATGTCTTTCTCCAGGGACGGATCCCTCCTGATAACATGTCCAAAGTACGTAAGACGTAGTCTCACCATCTTTGCTTCTAAGAAGCATTCTGGCTCTACTTCTTCTAAGACTGATTTGTTCCTTCTTTTGGCAGTCCATGGTATATTCAATATTCTTCGCCAACACCACAATTCAAAGACTTCAATTCTTCTTTGGTCTTCCTTATTCATTGTCCAGCTTTTGCACGCATATGATGCAATTGAAAATACCATGGTTTGGTCAGGAGCACCTTAGTCTTCAGGGTGACTTCTTTGCTTTTCAACACTTTAAAGAGGTCTTTTGCAGCAGATTTCCCCAATGCAATGCATCTTCTGATTTCTTGACTGCAACTTCTGTGGGTGTTGATTGTGGATCCTAGTAAAATGAAATCCTTGACAACTTAAATCCTTTCTCTGTTTATCATGTTGTTGCTTATTGGTCCATTTGTGAGGAATTTTGTTTTCTTTATGTTGAGGTGTAATCCATACTGAAGGCTGTGGTCTCTGATCTTTATCAGTAAGTGCTTCAAGTCCTCTTCACTTTCAGCAAGCAAGGTTGTGTCATCTGCATAATGCAGGTTGTTAATGAGTCTTCCTTCAATCCTGATGCCCCGTTCTTCTTCATGTAGTCCAGGTTCTCAGAATATTTGCTCAGCATACAGATTGAATAGGTATGGTGAAAGAATACAACCCTGACACACACCTTTCCTAACTTTAAACCAGGCAGTATCCCCTTGTTCTGTCGGAAAGACTGCCTCTTGATCTTCGTACAGGTTCCTCATGAGCACAGTTAAGTGTTGTGGAATTCCCATTCTTCACAGTGTTATCCATAATTTGTTATGATCCACATAGTCTAATGCTTTTGTATAGTCAATAAAACACAGGTGAAATATCCATCTGGTATTCTCTGCTTTCAGCCAGGATCCATCTGACATCAGCAATGATATCCCTGGTTCCATGTCCTCTTCTGAATCGGCCTGAATTTTTGGCCGTTCCCTGTCGATATACTGCTGCAGCTGCTTTTGCATGATCTTCAGCAAAATTTTACTTTCATGTGATATTAATGATATTGTTTGATAATTTCCACATTTGGTTGGATCACCTTTCTTGGGAATAGGTATAGATATGGATCTCTTCCAGTTGGTTGGCCAGGTAGCTGTCTTCCAAATTTCCTGCCATAGATGAGTGAGCACTTCCAGCATTACATTTTATATCCTGATTTTTCCCCTTAATATCATAGTCATTTCTCTTTTCCTCAAACATTATTCAAGAATATCTTTTGTTAAGGTTTCACATATGAATGTCTCATAATTTATTTAACTATTCTCCTAATTTTTCACACTTACACTTTTTTAATTTTGCCTTTATAAACCATGATGTGACAACCACATATATAAGTCTTTCTGGGCATTCTGATTTTATTTCTTTAGAATAAATCCTAGAAATAGAAGATTGTGTACATTTTTAACGCTCTTGATACATATTGCCAAATTGCTTTCCAGTAAGGCTGAGATAATTTGCACACCTACCATTTCATCACTTGCTCACATGGAGAATCATCTTAAAAAATAAAACAAAAACTTTGCTAACTTGATACACAACACAGTATCATGCTCAAATTTAAATTTCTCTAATTACTAGTGAGGTTGAACATTTTTTTTCACGTTTTTACTAGTGTTATAAATTGTCTTCTGTGAATTTCTGTTCATTTCTTTTGCCAATTTTTCTATTGAGGCTTAGTTATTTTTTTCTCATTGATTTTATTAGCCTTTAACTAATAAGCTATGAGCCCCTTTTCTGTTATTTTTTAAAATATATAATTACCTATTTTTGCTTGTTGTTTAATATTTTTAGAGTTTAAAATTTTTATACTGTTACATTTATCAAGCTTTAGTTATAATTTTCCCATAGCTTCTTTTTCTGTCTATGGCTCCAGATAACTAAAATTCTTGTGTATTATCTTTTTTTTTTAAATTCCTAATCAAAGGGACATTTATTTTGGAGTATGATATGAGACAAAGGTCTGTATTTGCTTCTAAATAACTAGATATTTTCCCCACACTGTTTTCTGAAAAATGTATCCCTTTGCCATTAGTTTGTACCACTTTATTTTACATTAAGTTTATAACTATACTTGGACCTGTTTCTTAGATATTTGTTATTTTCCATTATTTGTATGTTGATTTTTGCACTAACCTTATATTATTTTAAATACGTTATAATGTATCTTAATATCTGGCAAATCCAGTTCTGCATGTTTCTATAATGCTCTCAAATCACATAAGGTATAAGTCACTATTATCCTTTCAAAATACTTATGCATAATTTAGAAATAAAAATATGTCTACCTTTGTGAGGCTCTCTAACATGCTGTGATAAAAGAAAACAGAATAGTTAAATCTCTGTAAACTAGCCTTGAGACATAAGTCTAAACAACCTCCCTATTTCTAACCTTAAAGAAAACATACAACGTTTGGTTAATCTCTAATCCTGGAGAGAAGACAACAAAATAGTCTTTGACGTCCCACTGGTCCTTATAGTGTGAGACAGAGTTGAAAAATTCACATATAAATCCCGAATTTCTGCTCAGTCACTGAGAGAAGGAAGAGATGGAACCTCCCCCTAGAGTCTGACTCTCTCCAAAGACTGAGACTCTGAACTGAGATTCTGTCTGCTGCTGCCAACCTTGGAGCCTAGCTACAAGGGACCAAGTTCGAGCTGTGGTCAAGCCTTCTTCCCAAGACCACATGTAAAAGGTAAACACCTGAAGTCTAGAGATTTGGACTCTAACCGTTGAACATTGTAATTATAACTGCTAATTCTGATTCTCCGGGTCTAAATGAATGTTGTAAGGTTTTACCTGCGTGCCTTGCCATGACTACCTTGCAATAAACTACATGAATTTATGCATGTCAAACCTAAATATTTCTTTATTAGTTTCCAAGATTAACATATAAGAAAACACCCCTCCTTAATGTTCTTCTTCAAAAATATTTTTGGTTACTTCTGCCTAGATTTGAACTTTCAAATATTTTTTTCCTATGAGACATATTGAGAGAAGTCAATTGACTTGCCCAGGGTCTCATGACGGGATATATGTGGAACTGCCACAAGACTCACTGACTCCTACCCTCAGTTCTTTCTGTTGAGTAATTATTAGCTTTTTCCCCAAAATGGAAGCTGTGAAGTTGTACCTGGTTGCTAACAGGCTTGTATTTGAGTCCTGGTTTGTTCAGGATGAGCTCCAGCTGCCTTCGGTTAAAGTTGGACACTCCAAGGGATTTCACCAAGCCAGCATCTTTGCAAGCTTCCAAAGCCTGTGCATAAATATCAACAAGTCAAGAAAGAAGCCTCAAAAGATGCAAACTTGAATACTGTTTATAATGGTTAACTGTGTATTTCAGACGGCAAGTCCCTGAGTATGTTAATAGACATTCTGGGAAGAAAAAATAAAGAGGAGAGGGGCAGGAATTCTGTGATTAAATGAGTTTGGGAAATATTGTATACCATATGTACCCTTATATTTTCAGCATGTATACCAGCAGATTAAAAATTATCCTATTTCTTGAAATTTGTTGAGGCTGTCTTTATGGCATACATACTTGATCAATTTTTGTAAATCTACGTGTAAGAAAAATGTATATTCTCCTAATTTTGGATGCAATTCTCTCTCGATAGATGGATAGATACATATACATAGATACGTCTAGCTATAGGACTAGCTTTTCTTGGCTTCTCAGTAATTGAAAGGAATATGTCAGAAATCTCCCACTGTAATAACAGATTTATCAATGTCTTCTTGTAATTCCATCAATTTTTCCTTTATATATTTTGAAGATAATATATTTGGTACATACATGTTTAAAATTGCTCTATCTTCTTGGTTAATTGAATCTTTTATCATTATGTAGTGACTCTTTCCATCCCTAATAATGTTTTTTATTTTTAAGTCTATATTATCTAATATTATTATAATTATACCAACTTTTTTCTGGTAAGTATTCCATATGTATATTTTTTCTTTTCCATTCTTTAAACTTAACTTTCACGTGTCCTTATGCATAGGTATATCTCATTTTTAATCTAATCTGACAATCTTTGTCTTTTAGTAGGTGAGTTTAGTTCATTTACATTTATTATAACTACAAACATATTTGGACTGTTTCTACCATTTAATTTATTATTTCAGTTTGTCCCACTTTTGCTATGTTCTTTTTAAACTCTTTCTTGCTTTTAAAAAGTTTATATCTATAATTGATCCCTAATAAAGGCAAGAACTTAGCAAGCTCACACATTTCTTGATTTACTCCCCAATGCCTATGATGTTAAAAGCTTACAGACTTTAATTCTAGAGTATTATGGGTATATATATTGATCTTAGATATTTTTATAGATTACAATAATCTGTATCCAGTTTGATTTGATCACTTTCACCTTCATACATTTCTTGGAGCATTGCTTAAATTTTCCACTCCTCTTATTTAAGTATGGAGCCTTGGTGGCACAGTGGTTAAGCATTCAGCTGCTAATCAAAAGGTCGGCAGTTCGAATTCACCACCTGCTCCTTGGAAACCCTATGGGGCAGTTCTACTCTGTCCTATAGGGTCACTATGAGTCAGAATCGACTCGAGGGCAACGGGCTTGGTTTTTTATTTTTTTGTTGTTTGTTTTGGTTATTTAAGTACATCATCTGCAATGGCTACCAAAGTGGGTCTTTATGTGGCAGAACTTCTAGGCAGTGTATAGATCTGAAAATATTTTTATTATAACTCATTTTTGCTTACAGTTTGGCTGGATATAAATTCAAGGTCAATGTTCTTTCTTTTTTCCTCAATACTTAGAAAATATTGGTCTGTTATCTTTTTGCATCCAATGTTGCTGATAATAAAACAAAACAAAACTGATGTGTCATTTTATGTGGTTAGCTATTTCTCTCTGGAAGTTTTACATTTTATTCTTTTACAGCTTTATCCAGTTATAATTGATGTATAATAAACTACACATTTAAAAGTGTACATTTTGATGACTTGTGTCATATATACACACCTGTGAAATCATCACCACAATCAAAATCAGGAACACACTCAGTGCTGTGCTGATAAATGTTTAATAACTAGCTCTCCAGGAAAAAAAACAAAGTCCCAATTTGTAATATTTGTCAATTTCTGTGGTATAAAAACTCATACAAGGCTGCAGGCTAATAAAATTGATTCGAGAACTTTCTTCTTTTCTAATATGAGATTTTAATGCTATAAATTTTCTTGTAAACCCTGCTTTAGCTATATCTGACACATTTTGATAGGTCATTTTTTTTTTTTTTTGTACTTCAGGTGAAGGTTTACAGAACAAATAGTTTCTCATTAAACAGTAGTACACATATTGTTTCATGACATTGGTTAACAACCCCATGACATGTTAATGCTCTCCCTTCTCAATCTTTTTTTTTTTTTGGTGAAAATATACATAGCCAAAGATACACCATTTCAAAAATTTCTACATGCACAGTTCAGTGACATCGATTACGCTCTTCCAATTGTGCTGCTATTCTCACTTTAGATGAAGGTATACAGAACAAAATATTTTCTCATTTAACAGTTAGTACACGTTGCCCTATGACAATAGTTAACAACTTCACTACACACCAACACTGTCCTTACTCAACCTTGGGTTCCCTATCATCAGCTTTCCTGTCCCCTTCTGTCTTCTAGCCCTTGTCCCTGGACTGCTGCGCCTCATTAGTCTCATTTGGTTTTATGGGGCTGTCCACTCCCCGGCAATAGGTCATTTTTTCATTTTCATTCAGTTCAAAATTTTTCTAACTTTCTCTTGCATGTGTGGAGCAGGCAATATTTGTCCTAATGCTATGGCAGGGTAGAAGAAAGAACAAAAATGAACTCTATAACTCCCCTCCCATATTATCCTCTCACTGATCGTTGGACTACCTTCTACTCTAGGTCAAAGCTGCCACAACACCACATAAACAAACCAGCTCAAAATATACCTCCACCTTGAATACTAGGAGTTTTCTTATTTTTTTTTTTCCCTCATTTTCCCACTCGTATGATTTTGGGAAAGGAGCTAGCAATCATGCTAATTCAGAAGCTTGTAATAAATGGAACCAGAATTATTTTCCAGCTTTTTGTGTATCATTTTTTTAAATTTATTTCTTTTTAGACATCATATTGTTAATTTTTAAAAATTCATTCTGAGAAACTTAAAATATGTGAATTTATCTCATTTATATTTTTTGTAATTACTATTATATTAGAACTTATTTCCTTTATTTTTCCCCCTTCCAATCCACCTTCCTCTTTTCCTTGAAGTTCTTTTCTTCCAACAAAACAAAATCAGAATTATTTAACGCCAGAGTTGTAGCTTTTACACATATGTACTTATTATTAGAAATGCATGATCTGATTGTTACTTTCCATTGAGAATAAAAGCTGCATCTTTCCACAAATCTGACAGAAATAATCAGATCACAGTTTTAAAATGTAGTCTTTTAACATAAGAGGCCCATTTGAACTTACCTCCCAAGTGGCACGCAGATTAGACTTGTGATATAACCATTTACCATTCTCATCTCTAGGATAGGTTTCATCTCCAGGCTGCAAAAAAGAACAAGTGTATTCATTTTATTTCTATCTGGGAATTAAAATTGTGGAATTTTTGTTGCTAATATAACCCTGGCCCTGGGAAAGAAATTCAAGATACTTATTCAAATGTTGATACAATTATATAATAAATATACACATTTATTATATATAAAATCTCCCCTTTGTGGGACTGTCCAGAAATTCTTTAATTTGTCCTACATAGATGACACATTAGTCTCATTATTTCACCCTTGTATTCATTTTGAGTTGAATAAATTTTTCCTTTATTCATTGACAGGTTATTGTTGTTCTTAAGTCATCAAGTTCTTAGTGACAAAATTACTCCTATAAAAAAAGTCTCATCATAACTCCCATAGAAATTAGTCCTAAGATTTTTTATGTATTATGTACATGAAATATATTCCATCATATTTTCCTTTCAAAATTCCAAGATTTTCTTTAGTTGTTAAATTAGTTAGAAATTACCTTGTGAGTATGAGAAACTAACCTGAGCTAGTGCAAGGAGAAGAGGCAAATTTAGTGTAAGATATTAGAGTGTTTAATGAAAGATGAGGGCAGGCTCAGAAAGGACTAGAAGCAAGAAATGGAAACCCATCTCTAATGCAATTGGTACTCTCTTCCTGTCTTTCTCACTCTGTGCATTCTCTTTCTCTGCCAGTTTTCAGTCCAAAAACCTGGTTGCCCACAGATCCCAAGTTAGTTACACGGAAACTGACTTTTTGTTCAATTTCAACTCCAAATTTCTGGGTGAGAGAATCTGATTGCACTAGATTGTATCAGGCGCCCATTACTGAACAGGTCAGCAATGGCCAGAGGAAAACGGATCATGCAGTAGAAGTCTTGCTAGCAGGAGGCCATCCCTTTTTGTATGACAGAGAAAAGGAAAGGGGAATCATCTCAATGCGTATTGAGATATATGCAATATATCTCAAATTCTAACTCAAACTCCGATACAGTATGTCCCAAGTGATTCCTAATGATTTCTACCTTTATTTATACCACTTTAAACTCAGCATCCTTAACACTGAACTTAGCAGCTGCAAAATGCTCTCAAGTTTTCCTTGATTTTATCTTAAATGTCCCCCATTGCCTTTGCCAGCTAAGCACAAGCTATGTATTGCACAACTCCAGGAGACACCATTCACATACCTGTTGCTGTTTAGTTGATTCTGACTTACAGTGGCCCTATAGGACAGAGTAGAACTGCCCCATAGGGTTTCCAAGGAGTGGCTGGTGGTTTCAAATTCACTTCCTGGAGCTGTATGACATGGTGGCCCTGCCCACTGCAGGGCTTAGAGTCTCATCTGGGTTATTGCAATGACCTTCTCCTGGTCTCCATGCCCCCTTGGTTCTATACCCACAGCTAGGCCAGAATAATCTTCCAAAATCTTCATTTGGATCTTATTATTCCCATGCTCTAGTATCTTCATTTACTCTCAGGAGCTCAAAGAATCCAATTCAAATTTCTTAACCTTCTATCTACTGTCTTTTACAGTAATGCCCTAGAATTCTTGGTGAGTCTTATCTCCTAATACATGTTTCTTACACTACAGCTGCCATGGGCTACTTGCTGATCCCTGAACTCACACCGTACTTTCCCCATTCCTGTGTCTTTGTTCAGGCCACTTCTTTTCCCAAGAATAAACCCATGGATATCTAAATCTACTCTTCAAGGCTTAGATCATTGCCTGCAGGAATGGAGAGGATGGAAATGATGGTGCCTTTTCTTAGTCTCTAAGAGCCCCTCAACCCCTTTTAGCAGGTACATCGCATCCTGCCCTGCATTGTATTGGTGTTTTGGTCTCATCCCAGTAATATATTATAAACTCCTAGAAGGCAGTAGCCATATCAATGACATCTTTAATTGCCTAAAGTTTCTACAACAGACTCTTATAACTAGTACATATTTAATCCCATTGCCGCTTGAGTTGATTCTGATTCATAGCGACCCTGTAGGACATAGCAGAACTGTCCCCTAGGGTCTCCAAGGCTGTAATCTTTATGAAAGTAGACTGCCACATTTTTCTCCTGTGCAGCAGCTGGTGGGTTCAAACTGTTGACCTTTCAGTTGGCAGCCAAGCACTTAACCACCGCGCCACCAGGGCTCCTTATACATTTAATAAGTATTGGTTATTTGTGTCTCTTACTAGGCATGTTGTTTTTCTCTGAGTTTGTGTTCTCATCTAAAAAATGGGCTGGTTAGGAGAGAGGCATTGATGATGATCGCCAGTAATACCTTCCCTGTTTTCCGTCAGATGAAGTGATTGACACGGAATCCATTAGAAAATTATAAAAAGTCCATAAATATTAGATGTTTACCAGTGTTGTTAATCATTCCAGGTAAGCTTAGGCAAAGGCACAAATGGTTTGCACTTGACTACCAACTGCCAGGGTGGAGGTTCAAGGTCCACCCAGAGGAAGAAAGGCCTGTAGATATGTTTCTGTAAAGATTACTATCAAGAAAACCCTGTGAAGCTCCATGAGTCGCCATCAACTCAACTGCAATGAGTTAGGGCCCAGCAGAAGGATGAAGAAAGACTTGTCCAGGGGCAAAGAGCGTGGAATTGGTGGCATGCCAAGAGCTAGATTCCAGGGATGAAATCACAGTCCACCCACACCAGTCACCCTCTGCAGCCTCTCTCTGGGAGAATCCAGGGATGAAGTCACAGAATGGGAACTGGGGAAACAAACCAAGTGAGATGGTTGAGATAGAGGGTGAAAGCTGGCCCTGGAGAACTTCCCTGAGTCATTAGGACAGAGGTGAGGAGTTTAGGGAATTTGCAGCCTCCACAGTGGTTGAGAAGGGGACAAGCCTGAGCTCGTGGAACAGTGTAGATCCTAGTGGAGGTCACTGCCTCGTTTGCAGGTCTGTTCCCCTGTGACAGGGGGACAAAGGCAGAGAGTAGGAATCAATAGAAAAATTCCCCACTTTCTCCCTGGCTAAGCGTGTGGATCTGGCTTAGAGGACAACAATATAAATATGAATTGCCATCCAGCCCGATTTCTCGACACTACCTCATCAATGAGGAAAAGCACGGAGACTTCGCCCAGAATCCAGGGAATTCCCTTAGCGTTACACCCAGTTTCCTGTACTTTTGCTTGTTTTGTGTTATTAAATATATCTTCTTGGACATTTTTTTTCCCTAAATTTTATTTTGTTGTTGTTGCTGGGAACTATATACAGCAAAACATACACTAATTCAACAGTTTCTACATGTACAATTGAATGACATGGATCGCATTCTTTGAGTTGTGCAACCATTCTCACCATTGTTTTCGGAGTTGTTCCTCCCTCATAAACAGAAACTCACTGCCCCCTAAGGTCCCTATATAATCTTTCCAGTTGTTGTAGTCAATTTGATCCCATACAGATAGTTTTTCAAAGAGCACACTGTTCAAGGCAGGCCATTTTTACTAGCTAAACAACTAACATTTGGTTTTAAGACGACTTCAGGGGATATTTTTGGTTTAAGGTTTAAAGGTTATCTCAGGGCAATAGTTTCAGGGATTCATCCACCCTTCATAGCTCCAGAAAGTCTACAGTCCATGAGAATTTGAAATTCTGTTCTGCATTTTCCCCCTCTTCCTGGACATTTTAATGGTAAGCTGGAAAATGCTGTATATGGCACTACAAATACCATTTTATCATTCTGAAAGCACCTCCTTATTTTGAAAGGGATATGTTGCCCTAGGCCACCAGTCTAGGGGTAAAGTGGGAATGCAGAATGATTTCCTTCTTCTGGGGGTGCTTCTGTGGTCTTAATACTGCTACTGACCTTCTTAGGTCCTCTACTTAGGGCTTCGTGGCTTTTCCTGGCCAGCTGCCCCAACACTGCTTATCAGCATCAATGGCCTCCAAATATTTTTGATCATGCATACCACCAAGGCAAAAGTTAAGCTCATACTCTCATTTTGTGCATATTATTTATTAATTATATGGAGTACTGTACTAATACCATATGTGTATGATTGTATATTATAAAAAACAAATAGACCAGTTGCTGTTAGTTGATTATGACTCATGGTGACCACAGGCAAAAATAGGAAGTAAAATGGGATGTGATTAAAAAAATAAAGTTCAATATTTATCCCACTCCCCCAGAGGTGAAAATTCTATTTTCCTTTGCTTTAGTAACTGTTCAACCTTGTGAATTTCTAAGTTGCAACTTGTTGAATATTCAAGCTGCGTTATTCTGGCAAGCCAAAGCGAGAAGTTGAGTAAAAAGAAAGAGTGTAAACTTTGTTTTTGTACCTGGAGAAAAAAAGTTGAGGGGATTTTCAAGGTAGCGACTGGGAACAGAGCAGTTTGATGGAATGAGGGGTTCCCAGTAGGATCAGAGCACCAGAGATGGGAAAGAAGAAGGGACAGACAGAGAGGCCTCTGGTGTGAAGTTGGGGTAAAAGTAAAGAAAGATCAAGAGGTCATGGGCATGCGGGCACATCTGCTAAATAAGTATCAGAAGTGGTTTTCATAGTAGTAATTTGTATTAGGAGTCCTGGTGTGGTGCAAATGGTTAATGCACTTAGCCATTAACTGAAAGGTTAGAGGTTCAAGTACACCCAGAGGCACCCCAAAGAAAGGCCTGGTGATCTACTTCCAAAAACTCAGCCCTTGAAAACCCTATGGAGCACCATTCTACTGTGACACACATGGGGTCACCATAAGTCAGAGTCAACACAACGGGAACTGGAAAATTTGCGTTTCATTGTTCTGAAATTGTGTCTGCTTGTAACCTGCCATTTGGAAAGTAATAAACTGCTAAAATATTTTAGCCAGAAAGTGTCTTGCTTAAGAAATCGTAAGATTCAAAACGTATGCCAGAGTTTGGCTTCTGATGTTGATGTATCAATTACAGGTTCCGCCGGGAGGTAATGTGATAATATTGCATTTTCTACTGAAAGAGGTTTTGCCCTCTGGGGCCTTGAGCCTTTGCGCCATGTGGTTGTTAGGGGCCATCGAGTCTATACTGACTCATATTACCTCCACGTGC